TCCCAGTCCCGGTGTCCCCACCTGTGCCCGGGGGTCGCTGCTGTGGCTGGAGTGGAGCCTCCGGATGGAATTTTCCCGGGTCAGCGTCAGCTCCTCCTCGCTGGGGACACAGGGGACACTCAGCACCGGCCCTGTGTCCCCACATGTCCCCCTGTGTCCCCCTCCATGTCCCACATCCCCTGTGCCACCCCGTGTCCCCTGTGTCCTCCCATGTCCCCCTGTGTCGCACATGTCCCTCATGTCCTGCCATGTCCCCATGTCTCTCCAAGTACCTGTGTCCCCACTGTCCCTCCATGTACCTGTGTCCCCTCATGTCCCCAATGTCCCCCATGTCCTCCCATGTCCCCAGTGTCCCCCAGTGTCCCCTGTCCCCTCCCTTACTATTTCTCGGAGATGCGCTGCGTTTTGCGTTTGTGGTACAGGGTCATGACCACGACCACGATGACGAGGACGCAGAGCAGGACGGCGGCGATGACCCCGACCACGACCACCGAGGCCGACACCAGATCCACGCGCACGGGGTCCTCTGTGGGGACCCCACGGGGGTCAGGGGGCGCCCCAAACCGGGGGGAGACCCCACAGGGATCAGGGGACACCCCAAGCCAGGGAGACCCCACAGGGATCAGGGGACACCCCACGGGGGTCAGGGGATACCCCAAACCAGGGAGACCCCACAGGGGTCAGGGGACACCCTAAAAAGGAAGGGACATCCCACAGGGGTCGGGGGACACCCCAAAGAGGAAGGAGAACTCCAAAGGGTCGGGGGACACCTCAAAGAGAGGGGAGACCTCAAAAGGGGAAAATGCCCCAAAGAGGGTCAGGAGATCCCCCAAAACGGGGGAAAATCCCAAAAGGAGTCAGGGGGGACACCCCAAGAGAGAGGAGAAGCCAAGGGGAGAAGAGAAAGAGAAAGAGAAAGAGAAAGAGAAAGAGAAAGACAGAAAGAGAAAGAGAAAGACAGAAAGAGAAGGTGGACAGACAGATGGACGGACCAAGGGATGGATGGATGATGGATGGATGGATGGATGGATGGATGGATGGATGGATGGATGGATGGATGGATGGATGGACGGACAGACAGATAAACAGGAATCTGGAGGCATGACCAGATGGGTGAAGGGAGGGAAGGGCAGGTCAGGGGACAGACGGACAGGTGAGGGGACAGACAGACAGGTGAGTGACTGGACAGAAGGGCAGGTGAGGGGATGGACAGGTGGGTGAGGGGACGGACAGGTGAGGGGAGGGAAGGGCGGGTGAGGGTAGGAAGTGAGCAGGCAGTGAGTAAATGATGAGCACACGATGAGTGGACGGGCGTGGAAGAGGGATGGACGTGGGTGGGACGGGCACGGGGGGAGGAGTGGAGGAGGGAGGGACAGACGGGTGAATGGACGGATGGGTGGACGGACAGACGGACAGGAGGGTGGGTGGATGAATGGATGGGTGCGTGGACAGACACACAGAGAGATGGAGAAACCAGGCCCAGCACTGCCCTCACCCTCTCCCCTGTGCCACCCCCACCCGTGAGAGGTGTCCCCTCTGTCGCTGTCGCTGTCCCCACCTGTGGCTCGTCCCCGGATGCTGACGTTGGCCCGGGCCTCCTTGGCAGCCACGCGGTTGGACACTCGGCACACGTAGTCACCGGCATCGGCCACGGCCAGCGGCCGCTGGAACAGCAGCGTGTCCCCCTTGGCCCGGACACCCGCGGGCAGCGGCGCGTCCACCCTGCGGGGACAGCCTGGTGTCAGTGCTGGGGACAGCCCGGGGACAGCC